AACCAAAATATCTAAAGTCGGCTATTGAACAATACAGGTTGTCAGGTGATGATGATGATGATTCTCACATCAGGGGGTCTTAAATGTGACAAACGTTGTTCAAGTCCAGCAGGTCCGATACTAACAAACGTTTTTTGTGTATAGGTACAATCAAATCTCAGACTTTGTTTGCGTCTGCCATGTTTCATTGATTGACGTGAAAAGACTTCATGGTAACATCACCATATCAAAGAATTGTACGTCATTCGTGCGGGATCCCTGTGCATTTTGGGTTCCATGAAATATATGGAAACAAACAAAATGGCCGATTGTTCAGTTTTTTTTTCGCTATAATATCTGCAGGTTCCAGACGATTTTGTGTTTTAAAAGTTGAGAAAATCGCGAAAAACCAGTCCCAACCTACTTCCAAATAAGGTAAGATTACCATATATGGCTGTTAAACGAAGACAATTCTTTGAAATGTGCAAAGATTCTGTGGCAGCTCAGGTGTATTTTGTGCCTGGTCCACTTGGGCTGATTTACAGCAAACCAATCAATCTTATCACCATACTCGTCCCCAGTGCACCTCGGTCGTCCCTAACGAAGGGGGAAGGGACGACCGAGGTGCACTGGGGACGAGTATGTCTTATCACCAGAGGCTATTGCCCTCGCGCATGCGTAAAGTGGTAATAGTCCCTGGGAAGGAGATTGCAAACGAGTCTAATACGTACCAAGGCATGATCATAGTGAGGCTCGTATTGTCCACCAATACCATAATTATTAATCTGAAAAATATAAAATACGTCAAAACCTGCCATCTGCTTGTCATTTGCTGGAGAGGAAAATGATTTACGTGAATACTTTGTACAGAGCATGAAAGAAATCACTKGGAAAAATTACGCACTGTAAAGGTTGTAAATATGCATCCAATATGATGTAAATTTGATCTAAATGATTTACATCAAATTTACATCATTTTGGACACTTACAACAAATTCACAACCGTGAATTTTTTTTTTTTTTTTTTGCGCGATTTTTTTCCAGTGAAACTTGTAAAAATAGTTGTAAATCAACATTTGCAGGAGGTACCCATGTCTATATTGAACACGGACATTAATTGCTGTGATTCTGTAACATCTCTGGTAAATCTAGATTTCTATCCTATTTTACATAATGTAGAGATCGATATTTTCYATTGATCAGCAAGCTATTTAAGGAATTTGTAGCGAGTCTCCCAGAATATGTTACYGAACCACTTCGCGCCCAGTGGTACATAAGGCCTCCGTCCAGCTTCTCCACCACTCTCGGGTCACTGCAACTGCTCTTGCTTCTTTCCATGTTTTCCAACCTAATTAATTTCTTTCCTTTTCGACTGTTCTCCTCTAGGTCGTTCTCGGTCTACCTTTGCGTCTTCTTTCCTCAGGKRCCCATGTCAARGCAATCAGAATAWAAAAGTCAGTATTTCATTACGTACTTGAAGGATCTCAGCGGTGTCTGTGGTCAGTCCAGTTAATGCAGTCATTCTTCGGTTGATCGCCTCCAAGACTTCAGTGCCTTCGTTGTCCTCTATCCATGCACTGAATTAACACAACAATTGATATTTATATCAGGAACGGTTACACTAGAATTTTTCAATAGTCTCAACCGCTATTCATTGTCAATCCAGGAATTTGTCTGACGACGTCATTACGAGGTAAATGCTGTCAGTACAGAATKAATAGCTTTAACGCTGAACAACGACCATATCTTCACAGCAACAATATCTTCGCTAATAATWATCTCTGTAAAGAATGCTATCTGAGTACACATGTTGGCATTACAAATAATACTGTACAAGAAAAAAGCAAAAACTCAACTTTTTACTGATCCTGTAGTCTGCTGCTTCTACTTTGCCTGTTCTGCCGTTGTTGACCTTTGCACGGAGAAGCTATCGAGACATAGGATAATCACTGGTAAAACTGCTACTTTGATGAAATTGCTATTTTTGGCATTAAGGTGTTGCTTCACGAGCCAACTATAATTACATGAAAAGGTGACATGGGCACTGAGATCGATTATATTTTTGCTCCACAACACGTTCAGTTGCGAGTTTTTGATGAATCCAGATTCCAAGTCGGGATTTAGTGGCAAGATGACACTTATTCAGAAAACTGATTCATGTAACAATAACAGCATTAACATCAACTATTCTGCGCAACAATCGTTTTACTAAAAAAAAGTCAGTTTTCATAGAAAAAGGCTTTACTAGACTTCAACTCCTATTATATTTTGTTGGATAAAATGGCGTCGCTGTTCATTTGCCTATCGTATCAAGTCAACAATCAATCCCTCAATACCTTTGGTTTAGCTATCTCAAGCAAGGTGTCGATTTCCCCTTCTCTYAAAACACCATGAAATAGTTCAATACATGGGTCAACTCCTAGCGTTTCCACGGCGACGGGTTTGAGGCGGAGTTGTGGGTGTTTGTTCTCATAGCGACAGGATAACCGACGATCGTTGCTTGGTAACGGTTTGACGAYATGGGCTTCATGGCATTGTCGCATGTATGTTAGCATGTCTTTGTCGTATCCTTCGTCGTCGTCCGTTGCTGGTGTCGAGATTTCGTTTTTCACTATTATGTTTGATATTATTCGGACGTTGTCGATGAAATCTGGATTGCTCGGTTCTAAATATCGCGCACATTAAAAAAAAACAAACAAAAAAACAATAACATGCGAACAAATGAAACTAAACAGCAAATAAWATTATATATAAGGCCCTGTGTTTACATGAGGGTGTTCATAGGTAGTACAGCTATACAAACTCGTTTGTTTTAAATCATCCAGAGAAAAGAATACAAAAGAATTTGGCGCTACTGGCTAGTGGCACTCCATCTCACAGGGCCTTAGACAAAGACAAAAAAGGCTAAATCAGTGAAGGGGTATCTAAGGGATATTTAAGCAATAAACGATAGCTTGAAGAGGTTTACTGGCGAAATAAACCGCGCGGGATGGTTGGGGAACACGAGAAAAGATCAGTAAATCACGAGCCGWCAGGAAGTGATTTACCTTTTCGAGTGCTCTCCTAACCATCCCAAGCATTTCGCCAGTAAACCACTTTTGGACTCAAAAGTCTTTCAAGACAGCAGTCTGGTTTACCGGAGAAATAAACCATAGCTTTTCTCATGAATTCCGCCAATCAGACGGATGAATTAATTTCATTGATATTCAAGTGACTGGATCATAAATTTATTCAAAATCAAACAAGTTCAAGCAAATCACAGATCCACTAGACAGTAGCTTACCGACTTTCAGCATTTCTTCATAATATGATGATGACTGTTTTAGATTTGCAAACTAAATAAAGAAATTCATGAAAAGCAATAATAATTTGGTTGTTTTTTATGCTCAGTGCTGGGAGCCCCGGTGTCACTGACAAAGACAACCTCGTTCCCAGGGTCTTATCTTATTCTTCACTTGGGAATAAGGCCCTGGGAACGAGGTTGTGACAAAGACCCAGTTGTCATAATAGGATCCTTCAAAATAAGAAAGAAAGACATTCAATCAAAGTGTAGAGTGCCCGGGTAGTGTTTTTCATTCCCTTTTGCTCGTTTTTGAGAAGCAATTGTCGTAAGCGGAATCGTAAGCAGAAGCTGCTGCAATCAAATCCAAAATTGCGGCCGTTGGTCTTTTGAAGAAATCGTGGAGAGGCACGGAGAGTATATTGCGATTGCTAGGTTGTTCACTTACATTTCCGTTTACGATTCGGTCTCAGATCTTGTTCTGGTACGGTTTTTTTTAATCCCTTCTGCGTTAGTCGGCGGCAAACCACGGGAAAAATCTAAGATTGTTTTTTTTATGCAAAGACTTCAGTCATGCTCATTGCGCATGTCGTCCTTCCCATGTATCCTATCGGTCACTTAAAGTGTAGGAAGCCCACAACTTACCTGATACTCCAAATAAGCAAGATGATCAAGAACATCGGTTCGTTTTACTTCAGTTGTAATATCAGCCACACTTTTCTCCGTTCCCATCATGCTCAAAACATTTTCCATCCATTGAAGAGCTTGTCTTCGCCTTGCCGTACTGTAGGCTAGCCGACCAATCTCGTAGTTATCGATCACCGAGAGCCTTTCGTAACTGTTCATCGATCCATATATGGAAATATTCGTATCATCCGAAAAACTCCGACCGTACGAGTTATTTCCYAGTGTTAACCGTTTAATTTCCGATTGATTATTGATTTGTTCTGGATTTGTATAGTTGCGTATGGATGAAAGATGTGACGAATGTTTATCGATTTTTTCCGAAGTTATAGTATAGTTGCCCGAAGACTTTCCAAAGTTACCACTCGTGAAATCGCGAGGGCTGATATCATAGACAATTTGTAACCTCAGTATTGCTTCCAGAGCTCCGTCCAGRTCTAAACTTGAGATATTTGTCTTTTTGTATTCTTTTAAACTTGTTAGGAATTCTGAAAGTACAAATAAAATTACTATGACATATTGATGATGGCCCAGAGAGACATGATGACATTGTTTGGAGTGTCCAAAGCACCGGCTTCATCACCAATCGTTGCAAAAACTACCCACTGGCCACAAACGACAAACGTACGACTATTAGATCGGATTAGAGCGGATTTCATACGACTGTGCAGAAAACAAACAGCACTCTCTGCCCTGTTCATGCCGTTACAGTCACACAAAATCCACTCTAGACTGCATGCAAGTAGTGCATGACTACATACTAGTAACATACAAATACTTACGAGTAAGAATCGACTACATACGAGTAATATCCGACTACATAATAGTAACATACGACTACTTACGAGTAAGAATCGAGTACATACGAGTAAGAATCGACTACATACGAGTAATATCCGACTACATAATAGTAACATACGACTACTTACGAGTAAGAATCGAGTACATACGAGTAATAATCGACTACATACGAGTAATATCCGACTACATRCSAGTAACACTCGACTACATACGAATGACCTTCGACTACAAACAAAGGCATTCGACCTCATACGAATATCATACGACTCTATCAAGAAGTTACAGGTTGGCTCAAGTATAGTTTACACCTACTTGCAGAAACTTTGTCATAGAAAATAGGACATTTGTATTTAGTAAAAAGGAATAAATTAAAAAAGCAAAGGAAGATAACTGAGGCTGAGCGTTCTCTTTTGTCTTGTTATAATTTATTCCTTTTTACTAAATTCAAATGTCCTATTTTCTATGACAACGTTTCTGCAAGTAGGTGTAAATTGAAGTAATGTCATACAGACACAATTTAACAAGCATAAAAATAATGCAATCTTTCACGACATCTTGAAGAAAAAATAGCACTCGATGAAACTTGACGTCATATCGAAAACATTGTTAGATGTAGTACCCTTAAGCAAGCATCCTTCTATAAAAACATGGACAGGCAGTGTTAATTAAGGAGAGCAAATGATAGGGGTGGGGGGGAGTGGATGTTTGGGGGTGTTGGTCTAATTCGTGATTCACAAGGCACGTGAACGGATTTGTGGTTTTCCGTCACGATAGGACAAACTACAAAAATTAAAAACGGCGGGGAATTTCAGAGCAGGAAATGCGAGCAACTGTTAACTACAAGACCACTGGAGAAGAGGTAGTCAAAATATCCTGGCCATGTGTTTTATCTAAATACAAGACGAAGTCTCAAGTGCTCTTCAAACAAGATTATCCCAAAGACCTGGAGACTTGCACGAAATGCAATCCTGTGCGACCCTGTGCTTAGTMGACAAGCTGTGCTTTGCTGGCTCCATCATATTGTTATCGTTAAARTCCTACGGTGTGGTTAGTAGAAGCCGTTCTTAYAGTAGCTCGCATTGTTCAAAATGMTTCGGCTGTTCAGATCTTTTTCTACATTTCGTCATTGTTGTACTCTTTT